CTCGTCCACTCCTAACCTCGATAGGCCATTGGGCAGAAAGGCTTCGAGAAAATAACTAAAAAGAAAGAGAAGCAAACCGATGTTGAAGCATCAATAGATCATCACCACTGGAATCAAAGAATGGAAGTGGAACGACAAAAAGTTGAACAACACGACAAAATTTATGCTCAACGGGAGATAGCATTGGAGTAACATCGTACATAGTTAGAAATTAAAGAAAGGTAGGTGCAAGAAATTGAAAGGCAGAATGAAATATAAAATAAAATGAAAATCATGGAAACTGACACTACTGGCATGGACCAAATTTCCGCAATATATTGGAATAACTTGAAAATAGAGATTATGAAAAAGCGGGGTTTTAATTTTTAGTCGTTATTTATTATGTTGCTATTATTTTTTAATTTGTAGTTATTATTTATTATGTTGCTATTATTTTTTAATATTTAATTATTATTTATTATGTTGCTATTATTTATGAAAAACTATATATTGAAAATGAAACCTGAAATTAAAATTGAAATTGGAATTGGAATTGAAAATACAACTTGAAATTGAAATTGAGAATATTATTAGTCGTCATGTCGTTCCCACAAATGCTCGATAAGATCTGACTGCAGTTGTAAATGACTTATAGTGTCCCTGATTTGACAATGGATTTGTATAAAGTCTTCCAATTCTGGTGTATACTCATGCGATACTTCTACAGGTGGATTTGCATGACTTCCATCAAAGTCATTGTTTCTAATATCTCCTTCATCCTCAATGACCATATTATGCATTATTATGCACGCTTTCATTATATCTGCAAGTGTTTTTTTATCCCAAAAGCATGTTGGTTCACGCACGATTGTAAAACGGGCTTGAAGTACCCCAAATGCCCGCTCTATATCTTTTCTTGCCGACTCTTGTACTTTAGCAAAATATTTTTTCTTCAAACCTTGTGGATAGAGAATTATTTTTACAAATGTCGATCAGTTTGAAAAAATATCATCAGTTAGATAATATCCCATTGTATAGTCATGACCATTAATTATATAGTTGACTAGAGGAGCATGACCATTTGCTAATAATGCAAAAACAGGGGACCTATCTAGAACATTTATGTCATCTAGTAAACCAAGAAACCCAAAGAATGTATGTCATATCCAAAGATCTTGAGAAGTCACAGTTTCCAAAATGATTGTTGGTTCGTGACAATGACCAGTATACATACCTTGCTACGCGATAGGACAATTTTTCTATTTTCAATGCATGCAATCAATACTCTCTAACATGCTGGGAAAGCCATGTTGTTCTCCCGTCTGTAGCAATCGAGCAATATCGATATTATTTAGTGACCTCAGATAATGGTCGTCAAACATTGCAATAATCGCTTTCACAAACCTTATTAGACTCTATATGGTAGTGTTTTTCTCCAATTCTAATGTATTCATCCACAGAATTTGTCGGTGTTCCGTAAGTAAAAATTCTATACGCAATTGTTATCTTTTGAAGAGATGACAAACCGAGAACTCCAACGACATCTGTTGTTTGGATGAAGTATGGATCGTGTTAGTCAACATCTTTTACAATTCGGAGAAAAAGAGGACGACTCATTCAGAACCTCCTTCGGAAAAAACTTTCATATACACAAGGGGTATCAAAATAGTCGTGGTAGAGTCTTTCTTGCCCTTTAACTCTACCACGATTAAATATTTTGTGGCTTGGAACGGAACCACGATATCTTTTTATTCGTCATTGACTAGACCTTTCTGACCTTCTGGTTATAGCATACAACATATCCAAGTCATCATTATCTTCTTCTTCAATATTGAAGATCTCTCCTAAAATATTAGGATAACGATTCATATAGTTTGATGAATGAAAATATGAAAGGATAAATAGTTAAAGAGAAATGAGATATTGAATTTATAGAAAGAATGTATTATAGATGGATGAAAACATGAGAAAAATGATCATATTTATAGACGAATTATACATTTTTGAATTTTTATTTTAGTGGTTAAATTTTTAAATTTGAATTTCAATGGTTGAATTTTGAAATTTGATTTTCGGCGGATAAAATTTGAAATTTAAAATTTGAATTTGAAATTTGAAATTTGAAATTTGAAAATTTAAATTCTTACTATAAAAATCTATCCTTTAAATTGCGATCGTTATGAAAACTATATCCGTTAAAATATAACCGTTAATTTTAATTATATTTTTTAATAAAAAATATTAAAATATTAAAATAACATCCCATTTTAGCACCTATCATTTGAGTATATTTATAATTTAGGAGTGCCAAAATACTGTTTAAGATTATAAAATGACATTTGACATCCCAAAAATGGTAACTCATTTATAAAATCAGATTAAAAATCAATCTTATCGTCAACTTATAGTTCAGGAGCTGAAAGAAAGAAAGTATGAAAGAAAGAATGAAAGAAAGAAAAATAGAAAAGCAAAAAATTTGGGAGGGAACAGAAGAATTAGAAATGGTTTGGGGCTGCTTTGCAAATTTGACAACATAAGGTCCCTTGTTCCATCCCCTTCTGCGGACAATATAAACAGGTGTAAGAATAGCTTTCTTTTGAAACCTCAGTGGAGTCGTGAGCGAATTTGGGGAGGGACACTGCAATCCGAGGCAAAGGCTTTTCAATTCTATTTCTAGCGTAATAATCATTCATCCCAAGCTATGGATCTAAACCCGGTAAGTTTGATCGACCACACTACGCCCTCTACAAAGACATACCCAACATGAATATTTGCATTTGTCATTTCGTGTACGTATCTAGTATTCGTACTTCATCAAAATTGGATTTGGGAATCGGAAAGCTAAGGGATCATTGTGATTATTATCATTATTGTAGATTTTGTTGGAATTTTGTTTATTCGTTTATGTGGTTTTGTACTGGGGTGATTATGAGTTTGTATGCTGCAGATCTGTGTGTGGAATTCGATTTAGGTTGGTATATGATTGATTTTCAGCCAAACTTGTGCTGTAAAATGGAAATTTTCTCGAGAGGGAGACTTGGATGTGTAGTCTATATGACCAATTATTTAGATGTATCGTAAGTAGAATCTAATTTTCTTTGTTTACTTTTCAGTTGGGATTTTGAAGATGTAATCGTACCCCCACTGTAGATATCTGTGGTTGTGATGTTACAAAAAATATAAAAGGATTTGAAACAAACCACGTTTAGAACAAATGCAGGCAAAGTTCCACAATTTGTTCCCAAAATTCGTGTTAAAAGCAAGAATAATAACACATGGGGATTGGGAATAAGTTGACCATTAGTGAAAAGGGTTATCGTAGGTAGGCTGATTGCTGGTATTAATTTAGGAACAACACTGCCACACTTATAAAAAGTTCATAAAATTTTGTTTATTGACCCAGTGTAGGTTGTTGAATCAGTGGGTCTCATTAGTTTTTTCCATTAAGACGTACTGATTCAACCATTCACATTTATTTGGTGAGCAATATTTGGTAAACTATTCAATACCCGCAGCATTACTCATTTAGGAAGTGCTTTGGTGTTGTAAAGTGTTGGTATGATTAGCTAGCGTATAGCACGACACAATCCACATGTTCGTCATTCCACACTTTTAAATCATCAACATATGGGAGGCTATATCCTATAATGTGTGATTGCTAGCAAACTAAGAGAGACTCATCAGTAAATTGTATTCAATTGAAGTTAATTAGGAGCACAGGTGGCTGAGTCCTGCTTTCAATTCAACTGGAGAAATAGTGCTACTACCTCATCTTTTGTAGTTTTCACTCGTTTTAATCCCTTTATGGCCAGTGTTTGTTCTGCATGCGATAGGCCCTAAACCTTCCAGTAAAGGGCAGCCCTAGACATTTCGGGGCTTAAAGTAAAAAAAATAAATGAGGTTTTTATTTTTATTTTTATTTTTAATATTAATAATAAATTATTTTAATTTTCTTTTTGAAATGCAAAAATATTAATTAAGTTTTTATATTCAAACTTTTGATATCATAGTTGAACTTGATGGTAAGAGAGAGAGAGAGAAAGGGTGGAGAGAATGATTTTAAAACTATGATAATAATTTTGAATTTGACTTTTTTGGGGATTTAGGCTTGATTTTTAGTAACTTTAGTGTTATTGTTAACTTTTTTTCTTTTGTTTTAAAAAAATTAAATTTTAGGGCCTTTTAATTTCATGGGTTGAATGGATAAGTTTAATTGACTCAAGTTAAAATATTGTTTGGGCTTAAATCTATGTTTTTTGTGGGGCCTATTTTTTATGGTTTCGGATTTTTGATTTGGGCTATCACTACACACCTAAAAATTATGAGGCCTTCTTCAAAGTGGGGCCTAAAGCCCAAGTTTTAGTAGCCTAATGATTGAGCCAGCCGAAGTCCTTTCTAGCCACAAGAAGTGTTCAAGATCACAAAGATTTTAAAGCTTATTGTATTCATTAAAAAATCTCCTATCTCCCTTCCATGGAAGGTGGTTTAAGTGATTGTAGAAAATGGTTACATCTGTACTACTAATTGAAAAATTGGTAAAAAGGGAATCTACTAATGGAGAAATTTAGAAAAGGAGGAAGAAGATCTAGGACTATGTTCCTTGGTAGTGTTGATATTGCTGGTTTTTATTGACATTTGCTCCTGGCATGTTGTTGTAATTCTAGGAGCATGGTTACTTGATAAATGCTTCTGTATCTACATTCATATCAAATACACTCTATATGCATCCCATGATAAAAACAAAAGTTTATAACTTTTTATATGTCTTTAATATAGATGAATACGTTCAAGACACCCTAGGGGATACGTTGGGAGCTTACTTTTGATTTTTAATTCTTAAAAACATGGGCACCAAAGTATTTCGTATGGGTATTTATCTGTTTAATCACAAATTATAGGGGTTTTGTTATGCAAAAATGAAAAATTGCAACTTGAAGAAAAGACCTCATCGATCAAACCTTGAATCATGCTTTCTCTTACTCCTCTCTATACACCGACAGTAGTCCTCCATCATGGTTAAGATGGCTCAAAAATTCGAACAACTCAAAGAAGTGATGAGCAACGTTGAAGAAGATGGGCCATCCCATCTTGCTTACAAAATCGTTCCCTAAAATCTATCAAATCTCTTTTCTCAACTTAGATCCATGATCTCGGAGATCAATCCACTGTCCCACTTCTTGTAGTCACCTTTGTTATTCTCTATCTACTCTCTATTTCTAAAACTTTCATAGTTTGAAAGTAGTTCTGGAAGACATGAGAATCTCTTTATTTGGTCACAAGTAGGGGACAAGAGAGGACAAAGTGAATGGAAGAAGGGAAATGATCACAAACACATGTGAATTGCTTGGCCTGGTCTTTGATGAGTTTTTTTGCCCATGTTAGGCATGTGTAGTGGCGGCATTGAACCAAGACTACCTTATCTTGTTGGTGGTTGATTCTAATGTTAAGCACCAGACACTCTTATCTTGACCGCAAGTGGTTTAACGGAAAGGCTTATTTCGCAAAATCCTATGGGCTTCCACGTAATCAAATTCACTCTATTTGTGTTGTCAAACTTAGTTGTTGCAGCCGTGGATGTTGAAAGCGTAACTGCACTTGATTTTGGCCAATGCAAGACTTATTTGTATGTTTTTTGATCTGTCTTCTTCGTATATTATGATAGTAAAAACATAAAAATATGTTTTATTATTAATGTATGTTGGCCATATCTGTATCTTAATTTTTAAGAGTTTGTTGTATTGTCGTGTTTGTATCGTATTGCACATGTATCTTGTACTTGTATCTATGCTTCATAAATGGATTTTTATGCTTCAACTAGCCAATAGACCCTTCTTTTGAACCACAAAAAATGGATATAGAAAGGGGAAAAGTATAAGTGCCAAGTGGGGAATTTTGCAATCTTTTAATTTTTTTGGCAATCTATTTTTGGAGCTTGTTTAATGTTGCTTTTAATTTTCTTAATTTTTTTTAAAAAATAGAGGTATACTATATTTAAGAATGCTATATTTTTGGATCAAAGTAGGAGGCTTGAATAGAGTATAGAACTACAACTTTGACTCTTTTTTCCCCAATTATGAGACTAGCCTTTAATTTTTGTTTACTTCTGTGTGCAGCATGCAGGGGAGAACTATGCCCACCCGCAATTATGCTTCTTTCATGTCCTCTTCAAGGTCTAATATATTTGATTGTGTTAACTCACAAGTTTTTCTTTGTAACTCCTTTTGGCTTTGTAATTAATAATGTGTTTCTTTCATTCGCAGGCTGCATCTTTGGCATTTTACATACTTTCTACTCTATTTGTGGATAGTTTTGTCATTATTTTTGTGGTCACTGTTCTTCTTGCTGCTCTTGATTTCTGGGTAGTCAAAAATGTGAGTGGGCGTATCTTAGTTGGTTTGAGGTGGTGGAATGAAATTAATGATGCTGGTGAGAGTGTGTGGAAATTTGAATGCCTTGACCAAGAGGTGGGTAGTTGTTTTCATGCATTCTTTATGTAGATCTCCTGATTTGAGCACATGATGAAGTTGTCTGTAATAATTCTAACTGTATATATAAAGTTTTTATTCTTGGCTTCAAATGTACCTCAGTGATTGAATGTCATGTATGTTTATCTTTTTTCTTGCTACAGTCATTGGCTCGGATGAACAAGAAAGACTCATGGCTATTCTGGTGGACCCTTTACCTTACTGTAAGTAAATACTGCCAAACTACAGTGTTACTGTCTGACAATGTCCTTAGTGTTCAACTTGAAAGAAAAAGTAGTACATAGATGAAAAAAATGAGGGAAGGAAATGCATCATAATATTGTACAAGTAGTTTTGAAAAGTAAGACTTTAAGTATTAAATGCTATTTCGAGGAGTGCTGACCACCAGACATATCAAAGTTTCGGGTACCGGCCTTGAGACTTTGTACATCAGAAGGATTTCACAACTTGGTTCTGGGAGTTTTGACATGTTTTTACCAGGCTAAATCCTTCATGTTTAAAAGATCGACTTTTGTATAAATTGAAACTTGGGTTGTTTGTATGCATCTGAGTTGTTGTCCTTTCTTCTGTAGGCGGTTGCATGGATCTTCCTCGCGATATTCTCTCTCATAAGGTTTCAAGCTGATTATCTCCTGGTTGTAGGTGTTTGTCTGACCCTTAGCATTGCAAATATTGTTGGCTTTACTAGATGCCGCAAAGGTGAGCAGACTATCAGTTTATCAGAATTCAGCTGCATTCTAATTCCCTCAAATAATTACGATGACACTCGATCAATAAGATTTTCCATATTTATGTTTCTATCTGGTCTTATTTGGAGTTTCTCCTTCAAAGTTAGATAATATTCTCAAAGGGGTGAATTACAAAAACCTATTGTCCCCTCTAAATTTGCTGAAATGGTATGCTTTTAGTAATTATTTTTAGAATAACCAATATGATATTTTTAGTTTTCTTGTTAACATTGTGGGGAGAGAGTTAGTTAGGGATTTGTAGGGTCTCAGGTTTATTAGCCATGCTGAAAATTTCCATTATGCTGTTCTGTTATGTTACATTAACATTGTGGAGAAAATCAATGGTTCGAGAATGAGTTCAGGCATTAATTGGCAGATCACGCATACACAAGTAACCTTTTTTTGCCAATTTTAACTTGGAAGCAGTTTTTTAGTCATTTGTAATAATAGTGTGGGCATACTGAAGAGTATGATCACCTTATAGGTCATTGGACTACCTATGCCCTGTGTTTTTGTAGTTGATTATAAAAGCCCCTGCTCCAACATTGAAATTCCTAAGTTTAAGTAAATGGGTACGTTACACTTATTAATAGGGAAACTATTTTTATAGTGGGTGTCCAAAAAATGTTTTATTGTAGATTTATATGACAGTATAGATGAGTTCCCATTTATTGCTTTCTTGAATTGCTTGCATCATCTGAGAAGCATCCTAATGCTGAAATCAAATCTGTTCCCTTTCTCTCATATAGCCTAATGATCTAGCAGAGGCAAAGGTGACACAATTGAGGCTACCATAACTCCAATATTATGGATCTTTTATTCATTGAACAGCTAGGATCACCTCCTGTTGCTTTGGGATTCTATTTTGGCCCGATTAACCATTGAATGCTTGCTACGTAGTACATGCCAACCAAAGAAAAATTAAAATTCCAGGATATGATTTGAAGATATGAAGTGATAAACCTTACCAATTTTATTCCTCGTTAATGTAACTATTATGTTTGAGAAATACCCGTTTCACTTGGTTTGGATTCTTTGGAGTGGGGGTTTCTTTAAGCAAATTCAAATACCCAATCGAAATGAAGTCACTTTTTTTTGTGTTTTGTATGCCGTTTGAATGTGTAAACCATCCTATTTTTTTTTTTTTATCAAGTGTAAACCATCCTATAACTTTGGGTAAAATAGAATATTCCTAAAAATTACTGATGTTTTATCTATTTAAATAAGTTTGCCTCTTGAATTCTGGAAAACTTGAAACTAATGAAATTTTAGCTTTCTAAATTGCCTATTGAATTCTGTAAAATTGGTAAATTTAGTTTCATTTGCTATTGGAAAGCGAATTGAACAAATTTTTTATTGGATAATGGATATGATTATGCTAACAGAAAAAAATAGTAACATGCTGCCTTTCTAAACTACTCTCATCTTTTTTCTTCTCTTCATTATTTTCCTTTCTTGTGCTTCTACTATATTATGTAATTAAGATGATCATTTTGTTAGTGCAGCTTCAAACATTTTTCTGTCATTATTGTTCTTCTACAACTGCTATATCTTGTAATGCATAATTTCATTTATTGGTCTTGTAAGGTTTCTAAGATAATAATATATGGAAAAACATCTTGCTTTTATTCGGGATTGTTGTTCCCAGTAAAAAACATTTCGCTCTCTTTTCAGATGCTAAGAAGCAGCTTCAAGCATTTGCGACCCAGACTCTAGCATCTCGAGTTTCATCCACAATACAGTCGGCCTTTACTGTTATTTGAATTATTCGTACGGAAGATGGGAATTGAAAATATGCATGTGAGAGACCTAGAGAACTGTTGACGTTAACGGTACAGACAACTCTACTGGAAGTTGTAAATAGGGATATTTGGTTAATGGTAAAAACTTCTGCAGAGTATATGCCCCCTACAATATGTTGAATTTCTCTTGGTTTGCACATGTCAAAACTAACAGAGAATTTGGAGAGTTCCTCTTTTTTTCAGAAACTTAATTGATGGCCTTGAACCCATTTTGTTCTATTTCTTCGTAACATTGTGACATCGATCTCGCAGTTGATAAAATTTGAGACTCATGAATGTGCTCCATTTTCATATCCAACTATGCTGTGTAACAAAGTATCCGACTGAGCTGGTCCAGCCCGTGAACTAATGTTTTACTATGTTACCGTGATAGATTTCGTATAAGTTATGATAGACTAGAAAATAAGTTAGAAATCAAGATACTTGAATAAAAAAAATTTGGAAATCACAATACCAAGGAATTGTTTCACCTGTGAGCTTAGCTTGTGGTTGTCTGCAACAAGTATGACTTACGCAATACAATAATGGTATTGTTGCTATTGTATTTGTGGTGGATTCCATCCAATGTCCATTATCAATCCAATGGTAGCAACGGGTTTGGTCCTTGTCCAAGTAATATTTCTCTATGCAATAACTGCCAAAGCTATTGATGTACCAACTCTGCTTTTGCTTAATTTTCTTGGGCAAATTGGTTGAGTTGTTAAACCCTCTCCTGGTTTACAGGGGCAACGAAAGAAGCAGAAGGGGCAGTGAGGGTGCAATAATTGTCTATGCAATGTAAGTTAGGCAATGAAACATTAAGAGGACAAATGATAATACAAAACAATCAATCTTTTAACTTGTATTGAATGGAGCTACAACAACAAAATTGTCAAACGATGAACGACAGAGTCATGGTAGAACTTTGACAAAAATGAATGGAAAGAACATTATGATGAACTCGCCACCTTGTTTACTCTAAACGAATCCATAACTCGCCGAAGATCACTTTCCTCTTCGACAAATACCTTTTCAGGTGTCTGTAGTCTTAGTTCATATAGCTGGTTGTTTTCTACTCCAAGAACTGAAAGGTAACGCCGATCCCATTCGAGACGGACTACTCTGTCTTGGGGCATAACAGCCAATTCATTGTTGGTTGCATATGACTTTATGTTTACCTAACAAAACAATGGAATACAAATCAGCAGAATATAACTGCATCAAGGGATTTTATTCAGTAATGCAGTTAAAGGAATAGAGATTGAAATGAGTAAGTCTCTGAAAACTACAAGAAATGATCAGAAATATATTGCAGAAACTTGTTCAGTAGGCTAACTACACATCTGAATCATCTCATATTATTATTATGCACTGCATAAATTACATGATCCTCGGTAATTCCTCTCCAGAACTGATCAGAAACTACCTAAAACAAACTTCTCCAAGTATTATTACCCACTAAGCGGAAGTGAACCTATATTTTAGATGTATGACTTAAGTAAGCACAGCCAATCAGTCATATGCTAGTTCTGACCGTCTATAAATTCTATAATGCATGCAATGCAGTTGACACTTTCAACATCACACCGACCCTACCTCAACTTGATAATACATCCTGCCATCATCACCTACTCTTGAAGATGTAGAAAGGATTTTAGATTCACGCTTGACACCAAGTCTTGTAGACATAAACTCTGTCAAACACTGCCTAAGTACTTTCTCTCCAGCTTCCTGGGGCGGACCCAAATCTTCTATGCTCTTGTACCTCGAGGATGAAGGAGAGGATATCTCTACCGAAAGATTTTCATCAAGAACAAAAGGGTCTCTGAAGAATATGTCTGCTCCAGCACCCCGGACTTGAATCCAGTTTTGAGGGTACTGGAATGAATATCCATCAAAAGTGTCAATATACTCCCGGAACACAACAGATTGTTGAGCAAATGCAACGTTGTGCAGATCAGCTTTTGAGAAGATGTAACTTGAAAAGATCAATGCCACAGCATTCCTCCTTGAAACTTCAAAAGCTTTAATCTGATTAAACATTATGAAGCTGTATTGTGAGAATCTATTGCATATAGCTTATGGTTATAAAACATTTGCAGATCAAGGAAAAGGACATAGTGCCTTTTTTGTTAGACTGATGCATGCAACATATTAGTGCATGGAGCATGACTTTCGTACTCACTTCAAATAGAAATAGGAATCAGCAAAACATAACATCCAGTTGCAATAAATGTACTATAAATGTATTCCATTTGCCAGAGAGAGGACTATCTGAGTACAATAACTGGAAGCCCACAAGTGACGACCTTCCTTCTCTTTTTTTGGTTTTGGTGGAAAGAAAGGGAGGAATAAAAAGGGAATTTTCCAACCTGAAATCCAGCTAGCTATGCTATACAAAGGGACATAGCCCTTCTCTACCCATAAACCCCTCCCAACCTGGATCTAAAAATTCTAGTGCGACTACTAAAGGTTTACAACTTAAACAACAAGTTCTAATGAAGTTCTCAATTGAATTTAGATATGTTCAGGAACTTAGCAACACTTCAAAACAGTGTTCCATATCCAGTTATCACAACTAACAAGAAAACATGCAGTTCATCCTAATGAAAAACTGAGTTCCATATAATTCATTGAAGAAAGTGTGTGCACAGATATGATCAAAGAAAATTGTGAAGCATTGAACGACAACAAAATCAGTTATTGTCATCCAGAAAGGGTATCTTTCAATTCGTCAGCTTAACTCCACACATTAAACCAAATGCCTAATAGTGATTGAAATCAAATCAAATTCCTGCTAGGGAAGCCAATCGAAGTCCCAAAGACCTTTCTCGATTATTTTGCACAACTTGACTCCAAGAAACTTTCATATCCAAAATTTAAGTCCAAAATCTTTCGAACGCTTCTGTTTCCGACAAATATTTCTTTCGTGATAGCTCCAATATCCATATTTCCCCAACAACCCACATAATTTCTTTAGTGGTGCTACAAATGGAAGATGCAGGAAAAGCAAAGGTACAAAAGATAAGTGAAAGTGGAAAGTTTAAGAAAAAAAACTTTGAAAAAATGCGAAAAAATATTAGTTAAGTGGATAGCTACCCACACACAGATATTATACATCTGTTTACCTTTACCTTATCTGATATTATAATGTAAAATTTGAGCTTACATTGCATTTCTAATTGGTCTGCAAAGATAGAATGACATTTTCAGACTAAGACTTGTTGAAACCATTGAAATTTTGGAAGACTCACCGTTTGTATTTTGCAAGAAATTGAAGGGCCACGGCTTGAATTGGCAACTGAAGTGCGCCGACCAGACGGAATGGGAAGTTCCGGCGAAGAAAACGGCGTCGCACGACGCCTTAACGAGGATGGTAGAGTAGAAGAAGGGAGAGAAGGAAGTGGAATTGATTCAAGGACAGTGGTCATGATCAAAGTGGAGCTAAGAGATATGGATTTTAGAAGATGGGTTTGAAGTGGATGTTGATAAATCGTACGAATTGGATTTTTTATTTTATTTTTGGGTTAATTATACGTTACATTACAAAAGATTGTTCAAATATTAATTTATACTCTTAAAAATAAAAAAATTTTAATTTATACACTCAAAAATAGAAATTTATATTAATATGCACCTAAAATTAACAGCCGTCAATTAGATGTCTAAAACTAAACAAATAACTTACAGCTAAATCTCCTCATGTTTGTCACTTAATCATTTAGATCTTTTTACATTTAAAATATCACTCCTACATCTCTTGACGTTTGTGCATATCTAACACATAACTCTTTGTCGTTGATATCTATTAATATAACAGTTAAAAAATAAAATAAAAAAATTATAATTTCATATTACCATTTATTTTGTAGACTCATTATACTTTAAAGTTTAAAATCAAACTAACTATTTGAATATTCAATATAATGTAGGTATTTGTATGATGTTCTTTATATCCAATACAATATATCACTTAAACAGAATTATTCAAATGCCCAATTGGAAGAATATTTTTAGTTATATTTAAATTCTCAAAGGATATAAGTGTAATATTTAAATGTAAATGGTCTAAATGATTAAATGATTAATATGAGAGAGTTTAAATGTAATTTATCTATTTAGTTTTAAACGGTAAACTAACGGCTGTTAGTTTAAGGTCGATACGAATTTTTATTTTTGAGAGTACAAATTAAGATTTTTGATCTTTAAAAATATAAATTGAAATTCGAACAATCTTTCAGGGTACAATTTGAAATTAACCCTTTATTTTTAACAGGTAAATACACGCTCTTGAACATGTTGTCTGATGTTAATTGGTTGAATTGTTGTGTGACATGTCTGTTACAATATGTTTAGGTTCTGTGGGTGTGGTGAAGTTATATAATGCCCGGGGAAAAGATTAACATTCTTTTAAGCTGAAGTTATCATCTTTGGCAGAAAAATATTGAATGCAATGGTGATCACATCATTAATTTCACGTAATATCACAAATACGAAATATATTTAGTGGACTTTATTGTTTTAATAACTATCAATAACCACTTTATCTAATAGCTATAATGTTTGAATTGTGGGGTTTATTAATTTTATGTTATTTTATAATTGATTGATAATAGCACGTAATATTGATAACATAATATTACCGTTACACCTAATATTTACTCCATTTTTGGAGGTGATGTTATAATTATTTGAGATTATTAAAAGTTTTTACTTTTCAATGTGAGGTTACAACCATTTCAGACAACATTACAATCTTTTAAGTTAAAGTTACCACCCTTTTAGTGATGAGGTTATAATATATTGAGATAAAGTTACTACCCTTAAGAGGTTTGGTTACAATCTTTTAAGGTTCGGTTACAATCATTTCATGTAAATTTATCACCAATAAAGTCGATGTTACAACCATTTAATTTAAAGTAACCACATTTGGAGGTAAAATACTATAGTTAAGGTAAAATTACCACCTCTAAATTACAACATCTAGAGCTAAGATTACACTTCTCGATGTGAGGTTATATTCTCTATAGATAAGGTCATTGATGATGCACAAATCAACTTTTGCACAAAATCAATAGTCAAGAATGTGAACGGGGGCAATCAATGAGCAATTAACAAGTATTTAATGACAATTAAGAGCTAAAAATGGTAAATGGGCAATCAACACAAAGGATTATAGTGGTTTGGTTTGGGTGACTTACTCCATTCTCGAGAACGGCAACGGTGGCCGAAAATCTTTATTGATTAATAGTGTAACCAGGAGTATTACAATGCTTTAGGAGAGGGAGATAAATGGTGTGTATAAGGGGAGGTGTAGAGGTTTCGGAGGCGTGCCCTCAATACTGAGAGGGCGTTCATTATATAGTTAGGGCAAGACGGTGACGTGAGTGAGAGGTCTTCCACTATTTTGGTAAGTACAATCTTAATAGGATTAGATCTTTGTATCCCGATATTTTTTCCCTCGTGTTCCTATTCCATCGGAGGATGATCCTGAGTTGGACTGGGCTTAACCCTGAGTTTGGACTGGCATTGGAGTGGGCAGGACTTGAGTTGGAGTGGCCAGGAGAAGGGAGTGAAGGAGGAACGAGGAGGGCCAACCCTGGGCGGCGCCTTGGGGATGACTTGGGTGACGCCCTTTATTGGGTGGTGCCTTCTTGGGTGCTTCCTTTCCATTTGATTCCTTCTTGATTTGTGGACAAGTCTAACTCCCTTTTCTCACTATTCAACACCCATAACACCATCCTCACTATTCAATACATATCTTCACTATTCAACTCCATTTTCACTATTCAACTCCATTTTCACCATTCAACTCCATTTTAGACTCCGTGATTTGGACTCCTTTTGATGGGTGAACTCAACTTTGATTGGGCTTTCTTGGTTTATATTAATTGGGCCTAGCCCAATTAATTTTGGGCTCATCATTTGCCCCCATGCCCCAAGCCTCTGACTTTTTTGCAAAAGGAAGGGGTTGTGGGCATGTGCTTTGTCTTCATCTGGGTGAGTCGAAATTTTTCTTGTTTCCCGCAATATCTTTTCATCCTCAGGGACTCGTTGAATTTTTCTTTTTTTTTTTGCACTACTTCTTTGTCTATAAATAGAGGTTACTGTTCACCTCATCTTCCTCCATTTCTTACAGTTCATCACACTATCCAACCCTATTTCCACTGTTCATCACTGTGGAGTATATGGTTCAACACCTTTTCTCACTATTTAACACAACTTTTCATTATTCAACCCCTTTTTTTACTATTCAATACAAATTTTCATTATTCAACCTCTTTTTACTATTCAACATCCTTTTTCTTTTTCAACACTCATGAAAACTAGGGGCTCAAAAATTTGTGAAGTGGAGCAAAGAAAAGGTCGTGGCCTTGATCTCATAGGTGGCGCCCATGAGGGTGACACGATGGGGCAGCGCCCATGCTAGTGCTTATTTAGAGGGCGGCGCCCATGCCTTTATTTTTGCACCCGACACCCCTTGTTTATTTGTTGATGGCGCCCAAGTCTTGGACTATGGAATAGAGGAGCAAAGAGAAGGTGATAGCGGTAGCGCCCATGCCTCAGGTGGCGCTGGGCGTGACGCAGACAGAGGAGTTCGTGGCTTTGGCAAAGAACGAAAAGGAGGAGAGGCACTGGGGGCCCCATGGGAGGTGCCCATGCCCTGGGTAGCACCAAGGACTTGAGTGACCCCTTTGGACCTTGGTCACTTGGGTACTCTTCTTCGTGACGGTCTTCATGAGGTTCCGACAAGAGGCAAGAGGCCCTTTGGAATTCTTGGTGCTCAATTGGGTACGAACAAGGAGGCTTCCGTGGAGGGAGGTGCCAGTGCTTTGAGTGATGACAGAAGATTGAGCAGATGCCTTGGGCGACACCAGAAAGCCTTGGGTGACGTCAAGAGGTTAGCAGGAGGCCTCGTGTGCTGATGTGTTTGGGCGACGCCTTGAGTCTTATTATGGGCGACGCCTCTTTGGTGCTTTTAGGGTGGTGTCTTTCCCTCTTCCTAGGTGGGCAAGGTTTGATGCCTCTAGTGCTTCTTGGTTAAGGTTCGATGGTTAGGTTGCTTCCCAAAAATGAGATCCGGTAGTGCCCCCACTCTTTCTTAAATTGTGACTTATGTGTGTACCAAAGCTAGCCCTAGTTTTGTTGTAGGAGTTAAGACTCCTGTGTGGTCTTCTATGGGGATTGTAGCTCCACATAGCTCCACATACCTGTCTTGCTTTGACTTGACTTTGGAGGTCTGTGACCTTTGGGATATCAGAGAGGTAGACATGGGGGCTGTTGAAGAGCAAGTAGGGCTTAGGTAGCAAGCATGAGAGGATGCCGTGAAACAAGTAGGGCTCAGGTGGCAGGCACAAGAGGATGTCATGGAGCAGTAGGGCTCAGGTGGCAGGCACGAGAGGATGTTACGGAGCAGTAGGGCTCAAGTGACAGGCACGAGAGGATGTTGCGGAGCAAATAGGGCATGGGTGGCAAGCACGAGAGGATGCCATAGAGCAGTGGGGCTCGGCGGCAGGCACGAGAGGATACCATGGAGCAAGTAGGGCTTAAGCAGCAGGCACGAGAGGATGCCGCTGAGCAATTGAGGCTATCGCACGAGAGGGCTGGCCATCTAGAGGTTGACCTTTGAGTGGCACATGAGATAGCTACTAGGACAGAGACTTATTCTATGGAGATGAGGAGAGGTGCTGACGAGCTGAGGCTTATTCCATTGAGATGGAGATGAGGAGCTGGGCGCTTGAGGTGCTGGACGCTTGGTGAGAGAGGGCGAGACCCATCGTCTAGGCATCATGGGAGGCTTCTAAGGTAGAGAGCTCGTCTAACGGCATCATAGGGGCGCCAAGGTGGAGAAGATGAGATCCCTCGTTTGGGCGCCTGGTGATGGGTGTCTGGTGTTGGGTGCCTGAGGCTGGGCGCCTTTTGTCTTTTTGTCTACCTTTTGGTAAGTCATAAGCTATTTGAAATGAAAGCAAGAAAATTATGAACAAAATAATCTTTGTAAAATTTATTTCATAAAATAATGAATAACAAAATAAATCAACTTAAATCATAAAAGATAGATGAAATCTTCAAGCGTTCGATGTCCCATAGGTGGGCAAATGTTTCCCTGATAGAGTTGGAGTCATATCCTCTTCCTGGCCCTTAGGAGATCATTTGGATTTCTTTGAGGGGTTGCTGACGTTCTCTGTCATCCTGGTCCCGGCCAGGTGGCAGAGCTTGTCCTTTGCCAGCAACGTACTGTCTTAACTGACCATGCTGTATAAGTTCCTCGATCTGCCTCTTGAGCTCATAGCAGTCATCAGTGTCATGGCCATGGTCGCGGTGGAAGCGACAGTACCTACTGTGATTTCTACGATTTGGGGCGAACTTCATTTTTCCAAGCCAACAGAGCGTGGGGTCATCCTGTATCTGAAATAGAATGTGCTCCACTGAGGTGTTGAGTGGCTTGAAAGACTGTCATTCTCTTGGGGGGT